TTATCATAATAAAAAATCACTTTTTACTATGTAAAAAAATTAATTCTTTATTTTGTATTAAATAATTTTCTGACCTTTTCCGAACCAATCCGGACCCATCTGAATCCAAATTTCCAAGGTTGTTTCTGGAACAGGATGTTCCAAGTAGATTCATCCTTAATAAAAAAGTATAAGTAATATAATTAAAAATTATTATAGTTCTTATCAAAAATAATGATGAAAATATTTTTATATAAATTTTATTCTTTATAATCTTTTCTAAAATTTATTCAGTTTTATATTTTTATTTATAATATAGATTATAAGAAAAGCCTTTGATACATATGATAGTAGAATATAGGTAAGTGGAACTTAAATTTTCTAACTATTTACTAAAAAGTTCTTAAAATCCAAATTAATTTTTTTAATTTTCTTTATAATATAATTATTAATATTTATTTTATTATAAAAATATAACTATATTTTATAAATAAACTTTAAAATAAATTATAATTCTATAGTGCGTGAACTCTAAAGTCATCCAATACTTTAAAATATAAAGGCTCTATAAATAAAAATATAATGATAAAAAGAAATGCATTATTAAATAGTCTTTAATAAGATCTATAAATTAATGCATTTTTTATAGAAAATGTCTTAAAAATTTATTACGTAGTTAGATTTTTTCTGTAGACACTTTAAATAGAAATCAATAGTAAATAGAGTGAATTTTCAGCATTTAGGAGGGCATTTCTGATTGACTAGATTCCACCTGTAGTCACGTGTATTTAATAAAAAATAATGATTGGCTCATAATTTAATTGAGTGAAATCTTAAAGAAACCCATGCTAATGACGTTATTGATTTATTATTTTTATGCATCATTTGATGTATTTGATGTATTTTAAGGATTACAGTCAAAAATAATGACTGTTGTTTTTATTTAAAGAGGGGGAGGGAGGAGAAATATCGCTACTAAATACAAACTCCATTTTCTCGTATCCTAAACTACTCCTGAACTGATCAAGTCCTAACACTAATTCATATGACCAAACTCCTGCAAAATGCTCTTTGGAACCTGATGATGTGATTTATATTTTTTGACAGCAAAGACAGCAGCTTTGCCTGAGAGACCTTGTTTGTAGGTGCTCATATATCGACCAGATTAATGCGCATAATGATGAATATTGAGAAGACTAATAGAATCTAATGTCAACAAAACAATTGCCTTGAGACCCTTAAATGAATAATCACAATGAAGATGTACGTACCACTTTGCCTCACCCCAGAATGACTCAATAAAATTGAGTTCACAATGAAACTTTGGATAGAAAACGCACATGTGTCTAGCCGCTTCAATAATCTCTTATGTGTGGTTTTTTTAAGAAGCGAAATTGGATTGATGGCCAAGAATTCCACTTGTATAATATTAGGGATTTATCAGATTGAAAGTATGCGATTTGCAAGTACTATATTGCTTTGCCAAACTCTCTAATCACAAGCTACATTCTTCTAGGATTCATTTGATACCCTTTGGTTTCATTACGCCATCAACATCAACAAATGTCAGATTGTGCGGAGATCCATCAGGCATTTTGCCATTGCGAAGAAGTGGTTGCTTACTACCATCTTTCAAATTTATCTGTGAAACCACGAGAGCATTCTCGATATAAGCATTATGATTACAACTATTATTGAATATGAAGAGTGTAATTTTTTCTGGATGTGTTCATTCAAAAATCGGAATAGCCCTGTTAACTACTTGGTTGATAAGATCTTGGTTTATCCACTAGCCATCTTGATTGGAGCCCGGATGCATAATAACACAAGTTTTGGTATACAAAAGTCGGTTGTCCTCAGGAAGCAAATCATTTGTAATTTTCTCCTCTTCCGAAAGATAAAGATGCCTAATTGATTCACAGATAAACTCACTCACATGAACACTGAGCCCTTGTGACTTGCGCTGGAGCTGGTTTTCTTCTACTGGACCCCAGGTCTTAACGATTCCGTCATTGGCGTAAAAAATTGATTCGTTATGAGTAATTGGAACAAGTTCAGGAACATTTATTGAGAGTATTGGCGAAATAATTTGGTCTATATTCTGTCCTTCATACATTGCAATCTGAGGTTGTAGACTGGCCATTTGTTGTAAGAATTCATTTTGATAAGCCATCACGTCTTCACACTCATGACCATCGAAGTAAATGTCCTTTGAATGGTCCTTGTAATCCTAACCAAGATGGTATAGCCATTTCTGAACTCTTGAAATTGAATCCAATATGAATAAATAAAGTTAGTCTTTACTATGCATATCGTATCCTATATAGGTTCAAGTCCCAAAGTCAGGCCAAAGCCTGACCCTCTGTCAAATATTTGAGCAAGATATTTCTGGCACCGTTCGTATCCTGATCTATCTCCACTTTGCATGAATCACATTTGAACATTTTTAATTCTCCGAGGTCATTCTTCATGAACCCACAACACCTGCATGTCTTGGACGTGTATTTCTCAGTGCACTTGATGATCTTGCAAATGTGAAACTCCCTTGTCTTATATTGTAAGAACATTCAGAACCTGAAATGCGACCAAGTTAGCATTGCATGAGCAGTCTTTGACCGAATCTTTCTCTTATTCTTTAAAACTATTCTCAAAGATTCGAATTTAGATAACAAGATGATCTCGTAATTCATGCACAACCATCTCGTGAGCTGATGATGGCACTCATCTATTAAATAATGGATTCATTGTATAACTCACAATATTTTTTTTTTAATCTAAATCTTTTTCTCTTGTTTGTTCACTCTAACACAAAATTCTTGTCACTCTGTAATTTGTCATATTTCTTGGATAGTTTAAATATTTTGTTGAGATCACCATTACCCCACTCGATTAATTAATCATCAGGATCGTAACTGGTCATAAATATGTGAACACCTGGATTGAGTGAGATTACCTTTTCCCAAACATCATCTTGATTATCAATAATGTCTAGAGGAATGGAAATACACAAGTAAAAATGTTCTAGGTGATTCATAGTAATGTTCACTATGTTATTAACCTTTAGTGATTGTTCTAAAGTGATGATATCCTTTAGAAACGCATATTCTCCTCTGTTCCTATTCCAATCTCTAGCAAGGATCAAGATGGTTTGTATTCAATCCTTCTTTGATTGGTACTTCATTCGAAAATTATTTCTATGCAACTTCTTGTTTGTTTTATATGTGCTCATTAATTGTCTGATCACATATGAACATACTTCCCTAGGAGTCTCTTTTACTCATAAAAGTTCTTTAGTTGTGAAACATTCATTGTTTAGGTAATGCCTTCATATGATACTCATGTCAGTGATCCTATCATCCTGTATCATCTTAAGAACTTTATTGTATATCCACCTCACGCTTCCTATTCACTCTTAGCTTTTCTCTTTCTTTGGACATTGGATAAATCCGTATCTTTCTTATTTTTAATCTCTCTTCGTTATTTTCGATTTTCAGCTGATCTGAGTCTGTTATGTCTTGCTGTAAAGATAGTAACAATTGATAATAGATCCTCAGCAAGCTTACCAGATTCGGTATCATCAACATTGATGTCTGAACCGAGTACCACAATCTTTGTATCATGTTTACTAAAGATCTATTCGACCAGTTCAAAAGCGAAATAGCAGAGATGGTCCTTGTGGGTAACCACAATCTCCTCGATATCTCTTTAGTATAATCGTTCCAAAATGGATGTAAAACCTTTGCATTTCCAGTTGAGACCTAATCCGATATCCTTGATAAGTTCGTGATCTGGACATTTTTACCTGAGGTACTCACATTGCCTGTCGAGATCTTCTTTTTGCTTTTCTGAACTGACTCGTGCATAATAGATCTTTTTCTTTTCATTTATTCTTTCTTGGTTTCCAAATATCTTCTTTACATCCACTATGGAATATAACCTGTTGCCACCAGGTGTTCTAATACTTGATATCTTCCCTTGATTATTCCACCTTCTCAATGTTTCAGATGAAATTTCGTATGTTTTTCGAATTTCTTGTGCTCCTTGATACTTTATCATTGACATTATCTTGCTCAAATATGCAAAGCTGACTTATTTATATTTGATAAATATTGAATTATCAACAATGATGTAATGATGACAATTCGATATTCTTTGTCATTAATAATCAAAATAATATAAGATACTTACTATAATTAAAAATAACAATCAGTAAAATAAATAGCAAATAGAGATTTAATTATTAATATTGCATTGTTTACCAACCGTTCTTTCACCAATTGTTTTTCGTGTCTCGATTCCAAGAGAAGGAATAGCTTCGTCCTCGATGAACTTAATAAATTGCTGAATAGTCACGGTGAATTTGTTTGCGCGCAAATATTGGGTGACGTGCAGCTTGAAATCTTCATCAAGCAGGAGCGACTTAATTTTGGGATGTCAGCCACGACGTGATGTGATTATTTTGTCTCTTTTCAACCATTATTTGGCCCACGAATGAATAACCTGTGCATGCCATAGACCCTAATTAACACTACGGGCAAGAAGGTTACTAGTAGAAAGCTTAAAAAACCCTTGATCTTGAATGAGGTGAAGGAATTAGCTCACTATCCGAAGCCGCACATCAGAGTTTTTCTTTAATAAGACATCAAGAGATGCCAAAGTGAACGAATTATCCTCTTCATCGCTTGATTCAATGGTCTCAAATGGGAGTTCGTAATCACTGAAAGCATTATTGACAGGAAGCCAGTTTGTGATTTTGCTGGAACCCGAAGCTGCTTTCCTCCAGGCCGCTCTTTTATTACGAAGTGTTGATTCAGCCAAACCTGTATAAATTGGCTTTCGTCCTTTTACCACCCATGTATCCGATTGTCTGACGTTCTTTACGAGTTTCTCTAATGCATCTGCTTGTACTCTTCCTAATTCTTCTGTAAATTGGTTGTCACTCAAAGGCTCATTTTTGTTTTCCATCCAAGTAGCATCAAAGCTTAGTTGGTCGTCATTTTGGTTATTATTTGGTTAATCATCGCTTGATTCCTTGGTATCCGATAACTTGGTGTTTGATTTCGTATTGTTCCAGCACTTTTTTGCAGCTGCTAAGCAGTGTTTACTTTGCTTTTTTCGTTTTGGCATAATAAAAAACGTGTAATCTGAAAGGGTCTTTAATAAAATGCACAAAAACGCGTTCTGAAATGCTAGGGTATTTAATAAAAATGTGTTCTGAAATGCTAGGGTATATTGTGGGTTATTAGGCAAGCGGCCTTTCAGGCACGTTCTTATATAGAAAAGGGAAAGTCTGAGAGTCTCTTAAATAACTTTAAGAGTCACATAAGTAACTTTAAGACTCTCTTAAAATAATTTGAGCCTCCTGATCGTTAAAAATAATTTAAAATTGCTCCTGATAGATTATATGATCGCGCAACGCGTTTCATTTGCACGTGATTTAATCATGTGGTTTATTATTTTATTAATAAAATAACCATCCCCTACCCCCCAATGTACCACATAATACATGCATCGAGAATTTCAGCGGTGGCGCAGTATTTAATGTCTTTAGAGTTCGTGCACCATAGTTAAATTAATTTTCTAATAGTATTATATAATATTTTATTTAATTCTTCTATAAGTTTATTAATTTAAGAATAATATAGTATTGATTAGAGATGGGAGCCGTAACTAGCCACAACTCTATCGCAATTCTCTGATTGGCTGCCGCAAGCTGCAATTAGTTGAGGAGCCATCTTTAGTATTGATTAATAATATTTGATTTGATATTTATCAAATAATTCTTTTATTAATTTATTAATAAAAATTATTTTTCTATTTAATATTATTTTTAAAAATTATATTTATAAAAAATATCTTTATAAAGAAATAATATTATGATTTTTATTAAACTATTCTAGATTAATTTTACTTTTATCTATTTAATATAATAATTTATAATAACTACTATATATTTATAATTAATATAAATAATTTTATTAGATTTATATTTATTTTCTCAAAAGATTTTTTATTTTTTATTAGATATAATAAATTATTCTTTCTAATTCTTTCTTTATATTAATAAATATTATATATTTTTATATAATTTTTAATATTAATATATATTTTAAATTAATAATAATTTTAAATTATTTTGTAATAAGTTATTTTAATATTAAAAATATTTAATATATATTATTAAGTAATTATTAAATAATACTTCTTTTATTTTATTTAACTTTATTACTTTTAAAGATTAATTTGATTTTTTCTTATTATATTTAAATAAGATTTCTTTTTTTATTAAGTATAATTTTATTTTATTTTTGAATTTTTAATAATCTTTTTCTGAAATTTCTTCTAATATGATTAAAGTATTTAGATAAGTAATAAATTGAGAGTATTAAAGTAATTTTATTATATTTAAGTTAAATAAATAAATAAGAGTAAATTAAATAGTTATTTGATAATAATATTTTATATTTTATATTTTTTTTCTTGTATTAAGCTAGTTTTAATTAGAAGTATTTAGATAATAAATTTATATTTAAGTAAATTTGACCTTTTTAATATTCAATCTTGAAATTATATCTTCTAAAATCATAATTTAGCATATTAATTTTCTAAAAATCTTCAGTTTATTAAATAAACTCTTTAAAATATTATAATCAGTTATCAAGATAAAAGAAAGATTTAAATATAAATAAAATTATATAGTTTAAATTATTCTTTTACTAGTATAAATAATTATCTATTCTATATTTTTTTATTTTTTTATACTAAAATTGCTTTCTAAGTTTAAAATTAAAAGTATTAGTATATAAGATAAAAGATTTTTCAAAGTCTAAATAGATTAAGATAGGTATAATTATTAATTTATTCTTTAACTTTTCAAATATTTTTTATTTTATAATTTATTCAAAAAATTATTTTTTTCTCATTAATTAATTTAGAAATATAATTATTTTTATAAAGTTCTTTACAAAGTATTTATAATATAAAGCTAATTAAGAAAATTTTTTAAGATAGTAAAATTTATTAATTTAAAAAATTATTTTATAGTAGATATTTTGATAAAATTAGATTTTAAATTATTTTTATTAATGACATATCCTAGAAAAATAAGTATTATCTTGCCAAATTAAATATTTGCTTGATTAAAGTTTTAAATCACTTATTCTAAGCTTATCAAATATTTTTTTTAGATATTCAAGATATTTTTTAAAAATATTTAAGTATTATTTAAATAAATAATTATAAATTTTTTAAGATAAGATTTAAATATTTTATTTATTAAATATTGAAAAGTAGTTAATATATTATTTAGTTCAAAAGATATAATATTAAATTTATATAAATTACTAATAGTAATAAAATTTTTTTATCTTTTAATTTTATTTTTACTTATTAATACTCAGAAGTTAAGTTAAAAATTGAAAAATATTTTACTTTTTTGAATATATCAAGTAAGTTATTAATTTTAAATAGGAAAAATTAATCTTTTTTTATAATTTTATTTAACTAATAATAGTTTACATAAAATTTATATTTGTTATTTTTTTTTAATTACTATTATAAATATTAATCAAGAGCTATCTGATAATAAAATAATTGCAATATTTTTTTAATTTCTTTTTTTATGAATTTCTTTTCAATAAATAAATATCTATAGTATAATTTTAAAGTTATTAATTTTTTAGTTTTTATATTTATTTTATATTAAATAATTATAATCTTGTTAGACTTTTTATCAAATAGATTCTAATATTTTTTTAATAATTTTATCTTTAATCTAATATTAAATCTATTTTTTTAGAAGTTTTTTTTTATCAGCTTGATAAATATTATTTTTATCTATTTATAAAATTAATTATCTTTATTATACTTATAATAATTAAAGTAATTATTAATATATAAATATATAAATATAATTAGTAAGTTTATTTTTCTTTAATTCTTTAAATATTAAATAAAAGAATTTTTCTTTATTAAGTTAAGCATAGTAATTTTTTACTTGTATATTTAATATTTTTAACTATTTATTTATACTTT